GTAAAATATTCCTTATGATCATAATGCTGTCCTGAAAAAGCAAAGTGCATACTTAACTCTCATTTACTGGGGTCTGCGATTTGGTCAGCCCTGCCAGAGTCAGATTTTAGATCTGTTGACATTTTAGATCTCACATTGTTAAGGAAAAATTGAATGAAATTATTAAGATCAACCACTCTCAGTTTTAAACATTAGGAATGATCAAATCCACCATGACCTAAATCATTAGCTATTTCATTGCTCCCACACTTGAGGGAGTAAGGTTTCAAGTTGTGCTTGATGATGGTGCCCACTTGGTATTTCTCTCAAGAGTCAAGTCATTTGCTGATGAATGACTTGTCATTGCAAGAAAACTGCTATTATTCCAGTTTATGGGGAAGATATTTTAAGATGTATTTGTAGCGTTCACTATGTGAATTACCAAACCCAAGCATCCTACTGTAGATGTTTAAACAGTAATTTCAAGAGCCCTTGCTTGCGTGTGGCTCTAGGAACTTTCCTTTCCCTGCAGCCACCCCTCCCTGCAGGCACCTGAGGGAGGCAGAGGAGCATGGTGGTGGTGGCCAGTGACTTGGGGTGATAGAGGCATTGACCCTGATGGCTCTAACAGCACCAGAAGCCACACCGGTGCTGTGTAGGAGAAGCTGAGAGCCCCCTGTCCTATGGGGACACCTGAAGCTCTGGTGGAGAGTGACGTGGACATATGGCTCTGGTGATCTTGTTCTTTTCTGGTAATCCATTTTTCTTCCAGAGTGCTGATAGGGCGCTTTCTCTTTCTCCAGATTCAGAAACTTCCCATGGGATGATGCGTTTGCTTGTTTGTTACTTTTGCCTGATTGCTCTGAGCCATTACAATCAGCAACTGTATATCTGCAGCCCAGGAAACCCAATCTCTCCAGCTGGCTTACACAGTCTTTTCTGAAGCGTAAAGCATAGATAGGGCTTAAGGTGCAGGTTAATGCTGCATCCAAATAAACTACAGTTGAAATGCATGCTTGTTGTAGAAAATTTGTAAAATACCATACAGAGGAATTCAAGAAGCAAAGTAAAAGTCATCTGTAATTTTTATCACTAAAGATAACGCTGACAATGGCTTGGTATATCTTGTTCCTGTCTCATTCATTGCACTTGATAAGTTTCAGATCTTTTTTTCTAAGCAGAATGATACACAGAAAAATACTCAGAATCATGAGATATACTTTTGGCAGTCAATAATATAAGTATATTTCTGACTCCACAGAAACACTTAACAAAGTGACTGCTAACAGCTATTTAATATGCCAGTGGCCAGCCCTTCATACTTCTCCCTGGTCCTTGTGATGCTGTGAGTCGAATGATCTCCATGGGCCAAGTCACTGGATTCCTCTGAGTCTCTGTGTCTTAATCTGTAGAATAGTAATGACAGTAACACTTGGGATGTGTTTAAAACAAAAGGTATTTAGTATAAGATTAGAAACTACTAGAAACACTTCTATCAAAGTGTTGGAAGCACTTTTAGGTGATTTCTAAGCTTGTAAACTCAACCAGAAAGGAGGTAGACAGCAGATTGTGCTGGTCCTGGAAGCTTCAGAGAAGCTCCTTGAAGCTCTTGGCTCAATTCCATCATCCTGGTCACACCGTGGACACAAGGGTTTGTAGTTTCCATGAGAAATAAAAACAATTTTGTGAAAAGTGAGTTCTGTTTCTTTACATGCAAAAGAGAGAAAATAAAATAGAAAAATTGTAACCGAACAGAGAACATAGTGTCAAACTTAATATTACATTTAATCTGATTAGCTGGCAAATAGAAGCCCTTTGTTGCTCCCTGGGAATTCATGATTTTGTATCCTTTGAGTCCTTACCAGAACAGAAAATGATTTATAACACAATATCCGAATAAAGTATTTGTTAGTCCAGTGCTTCATACTTTCTGTTAAAGATAGTTTCCATTTTAGGAGATTTGCAACTAGTGGGTCCATGACTCCTTTTCTCCAAGAGGGTCAACAGTCATTTCCCATGGTTCTGTACAGAAGAGTGACTGCTTGGAGGAAACTGATAGAAGAGCTTGTGAATATTGGTGCCTGTCTAACCAAGATGGCTTAGGCCCCTACACCATGCTTATGTAGGTCCCTGGATGGTCTGTGTCCAGCTTCCTTACTGTCTGAGACTGGCCCCATGTCCCAGTGAGAGGCCCTGACAGTTTACCCTGTTAGACTGCTTGGGGTCCATAGCTGTCTGATGCTCTGTTGTCCTCTTAGAGTCTAAATGAACACTCAGATAAAACCCAGGCCCAGAACCTCCTGCTCTGTCTCCCATGCTAGCTCTGAACTGACCAGCCACAGCTACCTGATTTCCAAGAGTGGAAGAGAAGTAAAGCTGAAGGGAATGACCCCAAGGAAGGAACACCATCCCAAAGTTATCAGGAACAAGCTGCTCACTCCACTCTGGAAACCCCCCAGTATGTCCTCAGCACCAGCAGTGGCAAGTCCAAGCAGAAGACCTGAGGGAAGGAGCAGTGCGGGGGACAGATCTGACCTTTCTTTGAGAGGTGCAAGTGCTCAGGCAGCATCCACCCCTCCCACTGTCATCTCCTTCTCCTGGTTACCTCAGTGGTGGTTTTAGGACCAAGCCCACGGGCATCGGAGTTACTGCTGGGCAAGGATGAGAGAGCAACTGCAGTTTTCTGACATTCACGTGAGACCACAGAGAAAGGCAGAGAATGTCCAGGGTTCCTTGTCAATGTCCTTTCCAGGTTCCTCCAGTGCACAGGCTTGAGCTGAAGTCATGTTGTGTTTATTGGGTACATGCGAAACATGTCCTCCCCCACGGCACAAGCAAGCCCTGGCTGCCCCAGCTGCCTGCCGCCCACGTGCCAGCACACTGATCAAAGGCAGTGATGGTTCCAGCCTGAAACACCTTTTTAATCTAGAACACTGCTCAGCAGACTTCCTGGAAAGGGCCAGTTAGTGCATGTCTTCAGCTTTGTGGGTTTATAATGAGAGAAAATGGGCTGGGTGTGATGGTGCATGCCTGCAAATCCCAGCTACTCAGAAGGCATTGGTAGGAGGATTACAGTTTGAGTCTGGCCCCAGGCAAAAATGTGACACCCCATCTGAAAAAATAAAGAAGAAAAGGGCTGAGGGTGTGACCCAAGTGGTAGAGCAGCTGCCCAGCAAGCACAGGCCCTGAGTTCAAGCCCTGAACTACATATATGTACATACATATATATATACATGTGCATATGTGTACATACTATATGCATACTATTTTATATTATTTATATGTAATATATGTCATATATATTATTACATATATAATGAGAGAAAACATTTTAGTGCCTAGTGTACCCAAGGACCTGGGTTTGATCCTCAGCACGTGTGGGTATGTACGTGTAATTTTGTCATAGAGGCTTAATGCATGATTGTTACTGCTGTTGTAAGTCATGAACAATTAGCTAACTTCACCCTGGAGGAGATGGACGGAATGGAAGTGAGTGATGACGTTTAAAATCGCTCCTGCTTCATCTATTAAAATTTACAGAAATAAAAATTCACTCACTTAGGTTGACACTTTGATAAATTTTGGTGATTGTATATAGTTGTGTAATCACTGCCCAAGTCAAGATATACAACAGTTGTTTCTTTCTTAAAAAAAAAAATGTCCTGTTCTCTTTGCAGCCAACCCTTCCCTCCCCTGACTATAGTCTTGCCTCTTCTAAATTTTGTAAGTCAAAACTATTCCACAGTCCAGGCTCAGAGTAGTGATGAATGCTGTGTGTTTTCCTTGTGCCTCTTTGCAGAGGCCAGTTTTGCCTTTTCTAGAATTTTTTAAGTCTAAATTCAATTTATTTCACTGAGACAGCACTATTCAGGTTTATTTCTTCTTGGGTCAGTTTTGTTTTTTGTTTTTTGTTTTTTTTTTCTTGGTACTGGGGTTTGAAACTCAAGGCCTACACCATGAGCTACTCCACTAACCTTTCTCTGTGAAGGGTTTTTCTGAGATAGGGTCTCGCAAAATGTTTGCCTGGGCTGGCTTCAAACTGTGATCCTCCTGATCAACTAGAATTATAGGCATGAGTTACCAGCACCCAGCTCTTAGGTCAGTTTTGTTCATCTACATCTTTCAAGGACTTTTTTCATTGGGCTGTTAAATTTATTAGCACAAAGTTGTTCATTATAGTTCTTTGCTGCCTTCTTAAGGTCTATAAGATTTACAGTGAAGCCCCTTCTTTCAGTATATTACACATGATATTTAAGAGAAAATTCAAACACATAGTAAATTTTGCATCCTATTTTCTTCATAGGTATCTAATTTTTTGACCTTTGGTTGTCTCTCTTCAAACCTTTAGTAGGGGGTCACCTAAGCCAGTGTGATATAACAGAAGAACATAATGTCAGAATTCACCTGATCTGTACTTAAACTCAGCCACTCACTGGTCCTGTGACCTAGATCAGATTCTTTAGCCTCTCTGAGTCTTCATTTCATCCTGTGTCAAATGTGGGTGGCGGTCCTCCTGCCAGGCAGATGGGGACCTTATAGCTGATGGGTGCTGGATAGATGGGAGCCATTGTAATCATGATGGGCGATGTGACAGTATGGCCCAAACCCTCTGCTCACACCAGAATGGGTTAATGGTTTTAAAACAGCAGGAATTTTGAGAGCCTCCCGAGGCATCCAGTTTTCTCTGACTCGGTGTATCTGTTTCACATTTGGTATAATTAGAATCTAGAGTTTGTGTACTGTGATTGATGTACCTCACTGAAACATGGTTAATTTATTATCTAAAATTCTGACTTGTAGCATAGATAGTGCAAATCAGTATGAATGTAAACTAAGGATGACATTTGTACAAGAAAGCAGATTTTTTAAAAAGGCATTGAAAGCAGAATTGAAGAAATGTATTCCTTATCTCTGTTTTTTCACCCCTCCATCCTCCTCCTTTATCTCCCCTCCCCCATTCCAGGAACAGCTTCAACAGATCTTTATTTCTTTTAGCATTTGTTTGTTTCTTGTTTCCTAAGGGCCTTGATTTTCCCATTCCTGATTCGAGGCGGAAAGCCCACGTTGCTCTTTTCGTGTGTGTTGGCATTCATGTTCTGTACCTACAATGGCTACTTGCAAAGCAGGTACTTGAGCCAGTTTGCAGTGTATGCTGAAGACTGGGTGAGCCATCCCTGCTTTCTAACAGGTGAGTGAGGGTCCACAGAGATGAACTTCATTAACTCAGATCATCACTTGTTTTCATGCCCTGGTAGTTTCTAGTTCTAAAACCCAAACTACTTGGAAAACAAAGAGTTTGAGAGAGAGTAGCAGGGGGTCCAGAGCAGCCAGAGGGAGAGTCAGGCTGTCCTAGGATAGCACAGGGACCTGAAGTGGTCCCCCACACTGCACAAGCTGTGAAACAGATGCTGCTTCTACTGAGAACCTAAAAATAGCAGTGAGCTGCTTCTGTAGCATGAGCGGCCAGCTGGCATGGGGGGACCTGGGCACTCATTGACTGTGTAACCTAAGTCAGTCCTTATACCTTCCCTACTTTCTTCGGTAATGTGAGAAACAGTCAGCATGGCTCACCTTTCAGCAATGCAATTGGCTTTTATTATTATACTAAAACTTGTAGGACTGTGAAGTTTTGATTTTTAAAAAATTGGTACCAACTAATGTGAATTAATGTACATTTTCAAGTTCTAATTAAATCTTTACAGCTTCTGAACAGAAGTGAAAATAAAGCATTAGCAATCAAAAATATTTGTAAGAGCATTAAAAATACTTAATATAAGTAACGTCCTATGTGTTTATGAAGTGTGTTCTTGTAGCAATTAGAAATCACAAGTTCAAGGGTAGCTTATCAACATGGCGATATACCAAGAGTCCGGACTGGAGCTGCATAAAGTGACCCCACATTACATTGTGCTTTCTCTCAACGTATGTGAAGTTAAACAGGGAAATTAACCCTGGCCTACTACCTGTTGCTGAGAAGACAATTCCATACTTCTCGGTCCTGTTTTCTCAAAGAATGAAAATGTGATTCCTAGGACAGTACCCAAGTTGTCCCAGAGAACTGGCACAGTGAGAGGTCTTTGTCCTCCCCTGTTAAGTGACAGTATGATGACAAGGCCTTTCCAGATCCTTTGCTGCCTCAAAAACAGGTGCCTCCATGAAATGCTAGGCTTCATTCTCTGGGTTGTGTGGTAACTCTAAATAACTTTTTAATTTATCTGCTTCTCAACTGCCTTACTGTTTTCTGGCCCAAGGATCAGAAAAGAAAGAATGGAGTTGGGGGAGGTGGCACAATGTATACCTATGTAAGTAAATGTAAAAATGATAAAAGGAGAAAAAAAAGTGATAGAAAAAAAGAAAGAAAGAATGGACTTTTGGAGTCCATCTTTATGGACACTCTTTATGCCTCCCCTCAGTCCATCAAGGCAGACATGGTGCCCGTTTTTGATGAAACACAGAAGGTCCGAGGTTAGTAGCTGGCCCAATATTGCAGTCCAGTAAATGGCTGAGCAGCAACTTCACCCACCCCACCATGCAGGTAGCCCCAAAGCCAGCAACCAAGAATAAGGGGAAGGGGGATTTCTTTTCTTTTTTTAAACTAAAATACAATGGTTTTAAATGTTTGAGATTCTCAGAGAGATCATTTCTGTGATGAATTGTCTGGATACTGTTGAGCAAGGGCAAAGGAATCCTCTTGGCCTGTGAACGTATCCATCATTTAAATTAGTTCTGCAGACAGATCATATCACCTGGAGGTTCCTTTAAAGCTGGTTTAAAATTTGAGACACTGAGACCCAGGCTTAGTGGCTCACACCTGTAATCCTAGCTACTTAGGAGGAGGAGATAGGGAGGACCTCGGTTTTAGGCCAGCCCCAGGCAAAAGGCTCACCAGATACCATCTTAGCCAATAAAAGTTGATATGATATCACACACCTGCACCACTGGTCCAGGTAGTAGGATCTTGGTCAAAGTCCAGTCTGGGCAAAAATAACCCCAGGCAAAAATGGGAGACCATATTGGAAAACTAATTAAAGCATAAAAGGGGTGGGGGCATGGCTTAAGTGGTAGAGCCTCTGCTTAGCTTGTGCAAGACCATGAGTTCAAATATCATTACCGACAACAAAAACATTTTTTCATTATGTTCTTTCTTCTGAATTATTATTATCATGTCATATTATTGTTGTTCTGGGGGTACATTGTGACATGTACAAAAGTTCTTATAATATATTGTAGTTGAATTCACCCCCTCCATCACTCTCCTTTATCCTCCTCTCCCCATTCCTGGAATAGTTCAATATGTCTTATTGTTACATTTTGATACATGAATAAATAATATTTACACACATTCACCCTCCTATACTCTCTCCTTACATCCTCCCCTTTCCCTGGTACCAACAGGTTCCAGACAGGACCTGTTTTGCCCTCCTGTTCTTTGTTTTTGAGGAAAGGCATTTTAACAACAAAAAAGTTTGAGACACCAATAAATTGCATAAAAACCTCATGGTTTCTCTACCATTAAATGAAAGGATTTGAAAATGAAAAAAAAAGTCAATATGGAAACAAACTAGGTTACTTTTTTAATGTGTATTTCATAAAATTTATTATGTGAATAGACACATAGGAAATGACATGCATAATTAATTAGTTACACTTAAGATAATTCTTATCAAGAATGATGCAACTGCTGGATGGGGTAGCTCATGCCTGTAATCCTGGCTACTCAGGAGGCAGAGATCGAGAGTGGGGGGTGATTGTGGCTCAAAGCCAGCCCCCAGCATGGGGCCCAGACAAAAAAGGACTGACAGAGTGGCAAGCATAAGGTCCTGAGTTCAAACCCAAGTACCACCACCAAAAAAAAAAAAAGAGTGAAGCAGTTAATAATAATAAAATTAACAAGAAGTTTCCCATAACAATAAAAAGGATTAACCTAAAAGATTTGCCAACCTAAATAATAGAGAGAGATTCTCCAAGGGCCAAGGATAGGAATTTGGGGATAGAATAGCATTCCAATGGAAGCATACACGCCATCCTAAACTGTGAGTGCATTCAAGGAGGTTGAGACAGGGGGAAGATTTTAAGGGCAAAATGCAGAAGACTGCATAAGATGTTTCGAAAGGATGATCCTTGGCTACGTAGATCAACAACAATGGTAGATCTGGATCCAAGGTTACACAGACAGTTACAGGGCACATGTCCTGTGGAAGTGCTTTTCTGCCTGACGTGGTAACCATTGGGCAGGATGGTGGCTTTGCTAGAACCTTTTGTGGTGATTCTTGCTGTCATGCTCTTGGGCACAGGATAACCTCCTTCACCACCTCCAGCTGATTAACTTATTTATTTGTAGGACTTGACAAAGGTGACTCCATTTTAACTCTGACAGCTTTCACAGATTTTATACAAAGATTTTAAGATTCCCACATATGTAATTGAGTGTTGGACTTAGATGTGCACAAATGATAGGGGAAGCTTGTCTCTCCGAAGAGAAGTAAAGTAAATATGATATTTAGAAAACGGGATTCATTCTGGAACTTTGTATCAGAAACCAGATCATGTAGGGTGACATACTGAAACCCACAAAAGCAGTGAATCCACTATAAACTTAGGCATCCAACGGGACCTATTACATACTTACTATAAACAAATAGCAAAGTAAAGGAAGCTACTTCTGGTGGCAATGTCAGGAGGAGGAAATCTTGAAACACTTGCTGTAGACCAGAAGCTTTCCCACATCCTTGTTCTGTGTCACTGGGAGACGTGATGAGGAACTGATGCTATTCCAACTGTACCTTTCTTTGATACTAAGTTGAGGCAATATTTGCCTTTCACATTTGTTTATAATATCTCAGAAAATTGAAATGAACCTCTTTTTATCAGTTAGTTCCTCTTTCTTTTTTTGTTTTTGTTTTGTTTTGTGGTGGGACTAGAGTTTGAACTCAGGGGCCTCATGCCTGCAAAGCAGGTGCTCTATACCTCCAGCCCATTTTGCTCTGGTTATTTGGCCAGACTGTCCTCAAACCTTGATCCTCCTGATCTCAGCCTCCCAAGTAGCTAGGATTATAGGTTTGAGCCACTGGCATCTGGCTCATCAGCTATTTCTTTTACAAAAGAGCATTTGGGCATTTTGCCTTTTGTGGGCAGAATTAGTTGATGTGTTACTGAGAAAACTCCTTTACATGACGAAACCCCCTAAAGATTTGAACAATGGGGAGAAACCAGGGGACACTGTGGGAGTCTAGCAAGAGCCATGCAACCACTGTCCACAGGAATGAGAGCTGAAAGGGAGTGACTGAGGAGTTAGCAGAAAATTAGCACTAGGAGTGGGGGGAGCCAGGGACATGCACAGAATCATTCAAAAGAAGTTGTTGCACAAGCTCTGGCTTGGCACCTAGGAACTGCCATGCCTTTAGGGGTCCGACTGCAGCTAGTAAAGGTTAGATGGTATAGACCCTACCCCTCTTCTTACCTAGAAGATGGGAATGGTGAGCATTGCCTGATACAGTTTTTAGGAGGGAATAGGAAGTAATTATACCTGCAGGTCAATTCCCCTTGGGCTGTGCCCAAGCCATAAGTCCTGTGTCTGGCCCTCTCTGTCATCCTAAAAAGTAGATTGAGTCCATCAGATCAAAGCTTTTTGAGTGGGTTAGCTTATCAACACTGTTATGAAAACAGGGCTCCCTATTAACAGAGCTGTTGTCAATGCCTGTGATTCTCATGACAGCTATGGTTCATATACACTGTCCTTATAATGATCATCTGAGAGATTGTGGTGCACTGGCCTATCCGGCTTGGCTTCTCACACCTTAACCATATCATCTTGGTTTCGCCTTTAGGTTTCGTGTTGTGGTTAACTGGCATGGTGATAAACATCCACTCAGACCACATCCTAAGGAATCTCAGAAAACCAGGGGAGACTGGATACAAAATACCCAGGGGTATGTACTGAGAGGGAAGCCTTTGTTTCAAAGCCACATTGCATGGGGCCCGGCAGGCTTGGCTTTGTCAGCTGTCTCACAATTCACAGCAGAGTATTTATTAAAGCAAGTTTTCAGTGTGAGTCACTGTTAAGAATGTTTTCTTAGAATAAGAAAAAGAGCCATTCTGACTCACAGGACAGTTAGTAAGCAAAAGAGGAGCATCTGTGTTTGGAAACAGGATGGAGGACCTGAAAGTCGCAGGACAGTCTGGCTCTTGAGTTCCAGAAATACGATGGAATGCACTCCTGGATGGCCCTTCTCCCTGGAAACTACTTAAACGTGTTGGATGGAATTTAAAGAAAAAATAACTTTTAGAATGCAAATAAAAGAAGTAATTAATCATGGGGATGCTCTAAGTGAGTGCTGGAACCCAGAGTGTACCGTGGGAGAATGTGTGACCATAGCTCCCCCAGGTTGTCTTGTAACCCAGATTCGCAGCCCTTGGAGATCAGAGAAACCTCACGTGTGGATTAAGTTCCATGTTGGCCTGGGGTGGTGCATGCATAGGCCTAACGGCGAAGACCTCAGTCCCCAGGGGACCTTCCTTCAACTTGGGTGTTGGGTGTTCTAGAACCCCATGGGTCACAGTCCCCAGAAGAAAAACTCAAGAGCTGCAGAACCCATTAGGAAATGTGGTACTATGAGTAAGAGTTTAATAGACCTGAATGATTTGGGATCCTGGAGTACGGAAGGAGTAATGAAGTGAATATTTACAGTGTTTTAGGAAGGGGAGATGAATTATGAATAAAGGAGTAAAATGCTATAAGGAAGACTAAGCAGGCCAGGCACAGTGTCTCACAACTATAATCCCAGCTGCTCAGGAGACAGAGATCCACAGGATTGTGGTTTAAGGTCAGCCTAGGCAAAAAAGAAAGTAAGACCACCATCTCAAAAAGCAGCAGGACATAGTGACATGTGTCTGTCATCCCAGCTATAGTGGAAGCACAAGTAGGATGATTGTTGTCCACTGACTGGGCAAAAATGTGAGACCCTAAATCAAGCAAAAACAGACAGGTGTGGCTCAATTGGTAGAGTGCCTGCCTAGCAAACACAGGCTCTGAGTTCAAATCCAAGTCCTGAAAAAAAAGGGATGGAGGGGTGAAAGAAGGAGAAGAGAGGGGAAGGAATGGGAAGAAGGAAGACTAAGAAGATATAAAATAGACACCAGTAGAGTGTCTAAAAATAAAGAAACACAGTAAGCAAACCTAAAATTTTAATGGAGAAAACACATGATGTTGCTTAGTTTGGATACTTTCTACCATACAGGAATAACAACAAAATCAAACAAATGAACAAAAACCCTACAAATCTCAAATTACTTAAACTGTGGCCCAGAGAGCCTGGAATCAGCATAGCTAAACCCCTGATGTCACAATGCTGTTATGATAGATGTGGTGGAGAAGAGGAGACCTGGAGCCTTCAACAGGCTGCTGATGACCTCCCGCTCTGGTGGAAGGAAGAGATGCCCCTCAGTGATGGGCTTGTGAGTAGACTGGAGCCTTCTGTGGCAGTCCAAGAGAGCCCGTCCTCTGGAGAGTGCAGAGTGCAGGAGCCAGTGCCCCCTTGCTCCCCACCCTGCACCTGTGTGACACGCACCTGATTCCAGGTCTATGGGCAGTATCCATCCCCAGTATGAACCACATGAACTGGGCTGAAATGGCACAGGGAATGAACCCTGGGAGACAGAATGGAAGGATGTTAAGAGTGCCAGAAGCCATGACAGCAGCAGAGTTGAGAAACACTGCATTGAAAGCAAGGGCAGGAGCAGGACTAGGGGTACAGGGCTATCAGGCTAACCACAGGGAGACCCAGAGGGGCCCTGTCTGCAGGAACTTATTTGCTGTACAGCAGAGATGCCACTCTGGCCCTTTCCTTCAATTTCATGCTGCCAGAGGCTGATCCGTGTTCTAATTAACATCTTCAAACCTGAAGGACCACACTTGCAAACATATTATAGGGACAAAAACAAACCAGTGGCAAAACTTGACAGGGCAGGAACCCATTTCACAAAGCAGAGGATGAGGATAGGTAAAAAACCTAAAAAATTGCTAGCATTTGTTGCCCTTAACTCAGAGAAACTAAAACAGATGCCTTAAAAGCAACTGAGGCCAATAGGAAAAGGGGACCAGGAACTAGAGAAAAGGTGAGATCAAAAAGAATTAACTAGAAGGCAACACACATGCACAGGAAATTAATGTGAGTCAACTCCCTGTATAGCTATCCTTATCTGTACTAACAAAAACCCTTGTTCCTTCCTATTATTGCTTATACTCTCTCTACAACAAAATTAGAAATAAGGGCAAAATAGTTTCTGCTGGGTATTGAGGGGGGGGAGGGAGGGGTGGAGTGGGTGGTAAGGGAGGGGATAGGGGCAGGGGGGAGAAATGACCCAAGTGTTGTATGCACTTATGAATAATAAAACAATAAAAATTAAAAAAAAAAGCAGAGGAAAATTATGATCAGACTTTCAGTGATTTTAAAACAAGAATGAAGTGTTGAATATTAGGAGAATATGGTGATAAAGGAGTGAGTACCCAGGAGGAGGATGATTTGATTAAAGCACAATATACACAGGCCTGAAGTACCAAGGTGAACCCCCTTGGATTATCAATGTACACCCAAAAACATGAAGGATAGGAGGAAAAAATAGGTCTTTTCTGGGGGTGGGTACCAGTGGGAGGTCGGTGAGCACAAGGAGAGGGGGAATGAGGGTGAAGATGGTGGATGTGTTTTGTATCCATATATGAAAATAGAAGCATGTTGAAATTGTTCTAAGAAGGGGGAAGGGGAGAGCAAATGGAAGGAGTAAATCTAACTAAGATATAGTATAAGCACATACGTAAATATTACAATGTATTCCCCTGCACAAGTATTATATGCTAATAAGATAATTAGAAAAAATGGTGAATGAAGGGTTCTCAGAGTGGATCAGGTGGTAGAATGCCTTTCCATAGTTAAGGAGTACCTGAAAATTTCAATTGGTATTTCCTTTTCAAACAGCTTATGTTTGAGGCCCTGAGTTCAAATACCAATACCACCAACAATAAATAAATAAAATATTAATAAAGTATTTGCAGCATTGATACCCACTGGCTGCAGAATACCTGCAGTGAGCCCATCTTCTGTTGCAGTCAGGGAGCCTCCTCTGTGCAACAGTCCCCACAGTGTGCAAGCCCTGTCTTTCAGCAAGGGATAAATTGCCTGCCTTGGCTCCAGCATGTCCCTGTCAGATGTGCCAATGGGCATCTGACACAGATTGAGCAGAGGCTGGGTGGCTCCCAGACAGCAGCAGATGCCAAGATGGGAAGCCGTAAAATGAAGGGAAGAAATTGCTTTACCACTGATCCTTAAATTAAGAGGCACATAAACAACAACATAAAGCCAAAACACCAGACACCACAGGAAGGGCATAAATAGGTAAAAAAGAAAAATGCGAGATTTTTTTCAGTGATAGCTGCAGAGGCAGAGAAGGGAGATCCATCTTGCATATTGGAGTGACGAAGGAGAAATCCAAAGCATCGGAACAGAACACACATTTCAAAATCGAATTCAAGAAAGGTTTTGTGAAGTGAGCACTCAAGTTCATTTGAAGGTTCAAGTCCACCTTTTGGAAGAGCACATCATATACCAGGGGAAACTGACACAGAAGGATCAGCCTTGTCCTTTGTGCTGAGAGTGGCTTGTCAGATCTTGAGCAGCCCACTAGGCACAGGAGGAGAGTGGAAGCCAGACTTTATGCCACTCCCTTGCATAAAACCTGCCAGTGGTTTCAGATACTCCAGGGCTTAAGTGGGGATGTAGCCACCATGCTCTGTGAGGGCTCCGCTGTGGTGATCTTTGAAATAACCACCTCCCTGCACACTCTGAATTTCAGGACGTTTTTCTACACAACGTGGCTATTTTTTCTAATAAATAGATGTGCCATCTGTGCTTAGCAACTGTGTCACATCTTTTAGAAATGCTGCCCAGAATTCTCTTAGTAATGGTGGTGTCACCAGCCCCACCAAAGGAATTATGTTGCAAAATGAATCAGATGAGAAGTCAAGAAGAGGTGCACTGATAAGATTCCTGGTTGGCAACACACACACAGACACACGCACACACACACACACACATATGCAGGTGCAGATAAGATGCCCACTTGGCTGGACACACAAGCTGAATTAGGATAGAGAAAAAGGGCTGTGGGCTATGGGTGACAACTGGGGTTCACTGTTTTTTGGGGTTTGTTTTTTTTTTGTATAATTAAAGTAATTTTTTTAAAGAGCAGAGGAATGATAACATAAGCTGTTTGAAAGGGAAATACCAATTGAAATTTTCAGGTATTCCTTAACTATGGAAAGGCAAAGATTACTTTGATTGGAGTTGTAGAATTTCTCTTTCCTTGGCACCACCTCTAGTTTCCCTGGGAGAAGTGAATTCTGAAGAGATTATTGCTGTGGTCTCCTGGAAGTGGCTCATTCCAGAAACCCCTTCTGTGCCATCTACTGCACATGAATCCAGAGCACAGAATCAAAGACCATGGAAGTTATCCCTGATCCTAATAGGATCCTTAGATCCTTGATTGATCAAGGAAGATGTTGACATAAATAGTCCAGTTCACTTGGGTAGGGGTTAATGGCCATAGCTGTTATCTGTAGGGTGCTTTTTATTTTTACCAGGTTCTGGCACCCAGACCTGACCACAGACTTGTGAAGCTGTCATTCTGCACTGATTTACAGATGAGGTATCTGAGTTATAGAAGGCTGTGATAGTTATCCAGCAGCGTACGGGTTTTTATATTTCTTCTCTAGTGTTACTGTAGTCAGATGCTACATGAAAGATGAGAACTGTTTTTACTTTTCTTTTCTTTTGACAGTACTTGGGCTTAAACTCAGGGCCTCATGCTTGCTAGGCAGAGGCACTTTACTACTTGAGCCACTCCACCAGCTCACTTTTTTGTTTTTTGGGTTTTTTTTGGTGGGACTAGAGTTTGAACTCAGGACTTCACACTTGCAAAGCAGGCACTCTACCACTTGAGGCACACTTCCAGTCCATTTTACTGTGGTTATTTTGGAGATGGGATCTTGAGATCCCATTTGCCCAGACTGGTCTTGAATCATGATCCTCCAGATCTCAGCCTTCCAAGTAGCTAGGATTACAGATGTAAGCTGCCAGTACCCGGCTTTTTACATTTTTTCATCAGTGTGTATTAATTGTATAAAGTAATGAGTTTCATTGTGACACTTTCATACATATATACTTGTATACACACACACACACACACACACACTCACTGCTTTGTAATGTGGTGTCCTTAAGGTACCTGTGTATTAATGGAACATTTTCCAGAAGAATGGTGTCTTTGGGTTGTATTAGCTAATGACATGTTCACCAGCCTCCACCCGGCCCCCAGCCCCCACCATGTTTTTCCACCAAATACTGTGCTCTCCACACTGGACTCTCAGAGGGGAAGGTCACCAATGGTGCACAGAAGCGTCCCGTCCCAGCCTCCACCTAAGCTCTGGTCTGGGCTGTGCCTTGGGATGACATGGCATTTGCAGGGAAGGTGCACAGGCTCTCTCACCTCTGGGATTCAGCTGCCCAGGACCCTGGTGAGAGATAGATGATAATGAGATATGTAAGAAATAAAGCAGTTACAGAAAAAGTTAACTGCCCTAAATCCCACAGCTCCAAAGGAGTACGGTGTTCCTTAGATGCTTTGGGGTTGTCTCTGCAGACACAGGTAGCACTTGTCTTATATGAGTGACATTGACTATGCCTTGTATTTGAGATTTTTACATTTTATCTGATCATAAAAAGTAGTCAGTGAACATTGGCATAATTTTTCAATTACATATTACTTTTAGCTTAAAGAAGAGAGCACAATATTGCAAACTTCCATGCTCCCCACCTTCCTCAAATAAAATGAAAAGTACTCTGCTGACTCAGACTCAGCAAAGCCAACCTCTTTCTCTTTAAGAGGTCAGCCACCTCAACTCCTGCCAGGGCCTTGGTGTACTTCAGATGCTGTGAGCCCAAAGTGGAGGCTCCACAAGCTTCTGGAGTTTGTGTTGAAATTGGTTTTATGACTTGAAGTGTAATCACATTGTTTTTCAAGTTCTACCCACAGAGATTTTAGCTAGGCAGACAGGGCTGGGGAGTTGGAACCTGGAGGAGGTCACACCAGGCCACTCTGATGCACCCTTGAGCAATTTGTCCCACCCATCACCAGCCGCTAGAACCCTAGCCTGAAGGTGACCCCCCAAGGGGTCACCTGCCTCCTGCCCTCTCTATTCCTGCCCTGCTCCTTAGAGTGTGCTGGCTATTGCTATCCATCGTCAGGGACTTTGCTGTGGTTTCTTTTCTTGCCTGGAGTGCTCCTACCCCCAGACCAAACCCATCACTTGTAACCTGGAATGGGCCCAAAGACCTGTTCCCTGCCATCACTTCATTCCAACATCCCCTCAACTTGCCCTGCTCCTCACAGCCCTTCACCCTCTCCATGCTGTGTGCCTTCCTTGTTTGTCACTCTGGAGAAGAGGGCTATCCAAGTGCCTACAGCAGGGCCTAGCCTGAAACAGGGATTCCATGCATTTGTGAATGTTTGATGAGTGAACAAGTGGATCTCTACTTGAAAATGAGCATTTTCTTCACTGTTGCTCCATGTTGCTAAGACACATCTTTTTTGTTATTCTGGTGCCTGTGTCTTCTTAGGTGTGTCAGCCTGACCCTATAACTAGTGGCATAGTGAAGGCCTCTACCATAACTGCAGATTTGTGTATCGGATAAACAGTTAGGCATTGATTTAAGTATACAGTTCACTCTCAAAGCTGAAGCTATGCTCTCAAGTTGTAAAACATGTACTATGGAGTGTGTGTGTCACTGACTAACATAGTTGAATGTATGTTCTCGAAATAAGTATCCACTAGCATCTCTGTAATCCGTATTTCTTTAGCCAGCATTTTGTACTAAACACACTAATGTACTCTGTGTTTTTGTCTAGGAGGCTTGTTTGAATATGTGACCGGAGGCAACTATTTTGGGGAAATTGTGGAGTGGTGCGGCTTTGCACTCGCCAGCTGGTCTCTACAAGGCGGGGTGTTTGCTTTGTTCACATTTTGTATTTTATTCACCAGAGCAAAACAGCATCACCAGTAAGTTTTAAAGCACTTTCAGCACTCTTAATTTTTTCTCTGATTGTAGTATAATGATTTTCAGGTTAGATCTTTGAGATGCTAATATTAATTGATTTGCCAAATCTCAGTGTATGCCTTGCTTTAGTCAAATTAGCACAAAATGAAACAATACAACACATTGAAACTCTTTGTCCGCAGTGTAGTGCACTGCAGAGTCACGTCAGCACAGCTGTCTTTTCTAGCACATTCATGGCGTCTGAGTTTATGCTGCTGAGGTCCATACCAAGCCGGGAACTCGCATCTGCAATGAAGACACTAATTGAAACTCAGAGTGCTGACGGAGCAGTAGCAAGACTGAGAATGCCTGACCAACAGACACTGGAGATGGGGTGAGTCCCAGAGCTGGATTGGGCTCCACACCACGCCCTCAGCATTGTCCACTCAGGCCTGTCATCAACATCGTCATGGCTGCTGATGCTGCAGGACATGCAGAAATGCATGACGCCATCCCATTCCACAGTTCATCATCTCTTGGGATAAAGAACAAAGATAAAAAGCTAAAAGGAAGTCAGACCAATGTCATGGTACCGTGGAAACGTGCAGACCTTTAAAAGCTAAAATTTCTTGTGTCCTTTACAACCTCTTCATGTGTTAAAAGATGCAGTGGCTCCTTGTTGGGACAGGGAAGGGAAAGGCCATTGCCGGGTTGTCTGTGTGGCTACTATGTGAAGGAATTGCACATACACAGCACGAAAGCTGATGAGATCCCTAGAAGTGCCAGCATTTTTCAGGTACTCCGTGGGAGGAGAGAGGTCGATCAGAGAGCCAGGACCCATAAATCCTAGAGCTGCTGAGAAAGAAGTATGAAGAAAGATGGGCAAGGGTCTAAGAAAAAGAAGATTTCAAAAAAGGAATTGCATTGTTGGGAATGGCTGGCAACATAAGTGGTCAGAAATTACTTTGCTGCGATGACAGAATTGTCCACCGAAAGGAAAGACTGAAGTTCTAATCCCTGTTCCCTATGTTTGGGCCCTTATAAGGGAGTGGGGTTGCTGCAGATGTGATCAATAAAGACGAGACCATACTGGAGCAGGGGATCTAGCAGCATGACTGGTGTGCTTATAAAAAGGAGAAAATTGGACAGACATGCACACCCACAGAGGAGAATGCCATTTGAAGACACAGAGACAGAGGGAAGGCAGAGACAAAAGAGATGCATCCTCAAGCCCAGGAATGTCTGGGGTGACCAAAAGCTGGAGGAGACCAGCAGGATGCTCTCCTGAATCCATCAGTTGGAGTGTGGCCCTGCTGTGCCTGCATTCCAGACTTCCGAGAGGTCTGTTGCTGTAGGCTTTAAGCCATCCGACTCCTGGTGCTTTGACCAGACTTCCACCATTTTAAGTTAACTGAGGCTTAAGAAAGTAAGTCTTGTTTTTGAAGGCCTCAGATTTCCCCTCTGCTAGGTGACTCTGTGGAAGGCTTGGCTGAAGTAATGCCCTACTGCTTTAAACTAAATATACATAGCAAAGCCTTAGAAATGCACAGAGCAAAGCTAGACCACACGCCACAGCACTGATAGGACAGCCAGCCGAGCCTGGTCCACCTGGAGTCCTGTACTCTATTCAGCCTCCCTCTCCAGCTCTGTGCCTGCCCCAGGCTTCCTGTGCACAGGGACCTTAGACCCTTCTTTTGGCTGTCATCACCTCCAGGGAAGATGCTATTCTTTCCATGCAATATTTGATCTGAAAAAGCAAATAATAGCTTGTTTCTAATAATAGACAGATGAAATGACACTGATGATTTTTAACTGGATCAGGGGAAGATGGAATGAGAGCCTGCCAAGTCTATTGTGAAGCTGTTTTCTCTGATGAAAATGGAACAGGAAAATCCCTCTCACCATTTGAATATGAAGCACACAGAAACAGAAAATAAATGTTTTCCAAATGAAACTGCCTGTTAATAAAAATCCTATAGTATTCTTTTCAGAATGAGTCAAAAGGTCTCTTTGTTACTCATTTGCTATTTAAATTACTGTCAGTGTGAAATCAGTTTTAAATCTTGAAGAATTAAAAGAATTAATCAGTTCATCTTATGGAATTATGTTCAGAAATGTTGAGGTCAAAAATTAAAACTCCTTGTTTTAGACTTTTTTCTCCTCTCTTTTCTATCATTATTGTTATTATTATTTTGACGGGGGATCTCACTGTGTTGCCCAGGCTGGTCACTAACTCACTATCCTCCTGCCAAGTAGCTAAGATTATAGGTGCGGGCCACCATGACTGTTTTATCCTTTTTAAAATAATCTGGTAAATACATCTAATTAAACCACCAGGTAAATTGATTGCAGAAGAAAACATTCTGTAGATCTATTGTTTGCACTGTATTTATTGTAATGTTCTAAAATCAATACTGTATTACAATGAAATTCTACAACAGCTGGTACTTAAATCTGTAAATGATTGAATTGACAGTTCACCTCTAGGCTGGAAGCCTTGGACCAGCTGTTGTGGATTGCTAGTCAGTGTTCTCTTTGAAGGGCAGAACTTAGAGGAGTTCTGAGGGGAATGGCTGTCTTCCCCCCACTTACCTCCCCAGCCAAAGTGAGTGGAGCAAGGTGGGACTGCCCCTGCTTCCCAGCTCCCTGTGAAGTAACAGACTGGGTGCGGGCTTGTTCATGCTCAGACTAACTGCTTGAACTTGGAGGCCAGCCTCCGAGGAACCAGACTGAAATTTTTCAATTGTAATACTTACCTATTTGTTAAGTTTAATTTCATCTACAAATGAATTCAACATGTCTTCAAGACACTGTGATTCACTGAGTAATGACTTAGAAAAATAAGCACAAACACTTTCTTATTCCTCCTCCCCCTCCCTGTTCTCCCCCTGCCGCCCAGGTTCATGAGCCTCAAATATAAAGGTCTGGTTTATGATACCTGAAGTAGGTCATACAGTGACTTCCAAGATAAACCCATGGAGGGGATTTACTGTTAGAGAAAGTGGGAGTACCATGAAAAGTGGGTGTCATGAAAACAAAAACTGCCTTCAATACCCGTAAAAATATACCCAAAGGAATGTGAGTCAGGTTATAACAAACCACCTGCACACCCATGTTTACTGCAGCACTATTCACAATAGCTAAGCTATGGAAATAGCCAGGATGCCTCACTACTGACAAATGGATTAAGAAAATGTGGTTTTTATATACAATGGAATTGTACTCAGCCACAGGGAAGAATGAAATGTTGTCATTTGCTGGTCAATGGATGGAACCAGAGAACATCATCATAAGTGAAGTTAGCCAGACTCAGAAGGTCAAAAGCCACATGTTCTCTCTCATATGTGGAATATAGACCTAATACAAACTCAGCAATATTATGAAAAACAGGTCACACAGGGGAGGTCATGTACAAGAGGGGTAGGGTAAATGAAGGAAACTAAGAAGATAAATATGGTTGATATACTCTCTACATAAGAATGAAAATATAGAATTCTTAAACTGGTTGAAACCACCATAAGAAAGGGACTAAGGTAGAATGAAGAAAAATAGAGGAGATAACCCAATTGGGGTTATAATATATATGTACATGGAACTATTACAAGAAAACTCCCCGTGTAGCTACCTTTATCTCAAGTCTCAAAATGTCATTTTTTTCTTTTTTCTTCTGCAAAATTGAAGAACAGGAGGACAAAGCAGGTCCATGGGAGGCGGGGGCTGTAACCACCAGGGAAAAGGGGGTAGGAGGGTGAATATAGTGCAAAAATGTGTACACATATATGTAAATGCAAAAATGATACCTGTTGAAACTATTCCAGGAATGGAATAGGGGATAAAGGAGAGCAGTGGAGGTATGATATATTTGATACATTGTAAGAACTTTTGTAAGTGCCACAATGTCTCCCACCCAGCACAACATTTTTGAAAAAAGAATAATTTGAAGAATGACCTCAATCTCAGCGTAATTCAGATGTGATGAAGTGGGCATTCAGCTCTCCACAAAAAGGAACAGGATGTGAGTGCAGGCTCGGAAGTAATAAAACCAAGACAAAAAGCCAGAGCCACAGTCAGCCCTGTTTAGGGTGACATCAGTGACAGCTGTAATTCTAGGCATGAAGAAATGAGAAAGAAAAGTAACAGCATGTAGCTTGTCCCTTTAAAAACTATCTGTACATGTTTACAAATCCTGAAACATAGTTTCTTTTTTTTTTTTTCTTTCCTTCAGTGGTGGGGACAGAATCCAGTGCCTTAAACAGGCTAAGCAAGCACTGCACCACTGAGCTACACCCCCAGCCCTTACAGTGTAATTTCTTGAGGTGGATTTGTAGTTTCAGTGACTGAATGAGAAAAATGTACTCTAATCATTTAACAAATGTTCCTGTATAACGATTTCTGTGAAATAAATTCAACCCATTTGAAGGCAAACCCATTGGCCTTTTGAACACATTACAGAGGCAAACATGACTTTCTGTAGTGGTGAGCCCACACACGCTGTTTTTAACCTCCCATGGAGTCCAGTCCCATAGAGTCAGTCCAGTCCCATGCTGCCTCATACCCCTGCAGGTGCCCTGCACAGCTGCATTGTGGGGCAGCTTGATGAATGGCTGGGTCCCTAGTGGGCCTGCAGGAACTTTCAGGAGTCAACAACTGAATGTGTTTATAGTGCAGGTCCACATACGTGGCTGAATTGGCAATGAGCACCTTGTCTCTGAGGGTCATTACTAACCCCACTGCTGGGGAAGGCTGCTATCACTGGCCTCAAGCCAGGGAGGTGACACCAGATCCAGAGGTCCTGCCCAGCTTCTCAGTGTGACATACGAAAACAGTTATGTCAGTCTGATATGCTATAATTCTGTATTTGTGGATTACAGTGTTGAATGTTAAAAGCACCAGGATTTTCCAGGTTCCCTCTGAGTTTGTTGCCTTTGCATGTTTCTTTCCCATTAACAAGTAGCTAAATTGTTTTTCTTTGTGATTTTTAGTCTGTTTATCTGTTTAGCATTCTTTTGTGCTTGTGAAAACTCCTTTTTTTTGAGGGGTGGGGCGGGGACAGGATTTCACAATTGCCTTCTCGAAGGCAACACTAAACCTTTCCTCAGAGCTGCCCGAGAGCCAAGCAAGGTGCCCAGCTGGCTGTCTTCTCCACAGACTGTGGGTCAGGCCTCGCCCTCTGTGGGAGTGGGGAATGGCTGTTATGGTCACCAGAAGGTACTCAAGTCACACCAGTCTGCTTACTGCCCCAGGAGTGGAGAGAAGGTCCATGGTGACCAGTGTCCCCACCACAGCTCAGCAGTTTGCCTGAGAGGGGAGTCAGATGGGACCCTCTTCTGAACTCCACTGTTGATTTGCGTGTGATGCCAAAGATCTTTTACTGCTTTTTGAAGATCTCAGTATTCCTTTATAATGAAAAATACCATCACCTTGTTTAGCATTTGTGAAATGTTTAAGTGACATAATAATTTGCTTCATTTAATTTTTTTCTTATTGTAGGTGGTACCACGGGAAGTTTGAAGATTACCCAAAGTCCAGAAAGATTTTAATTCCATTTTTGTTTTAAGTGCACTGTCAGTGAAATCATCGTCAACTGGAAGTCTTTCAGTGATGTTCCTTGGGAGACATGAGTCCTATCTCTGCAGCTTTCCTGCTTTTTCATTGGATTCCGAATATCTATAGGGGTTTTTTTTCCTAGTGAACTACCTAATTAGTATGCATCATGCTGCATACCAGCCAAGAATCTGGACTCTCAGTAATGCCTGCTCGTAATCTCTCTAGTTTCTAATTTACCTCTGTGGGCTCTTATGGCTAACTGTGTGCAGGACTAGGACCTACATCCACCTCTGGTACCCCCCTAGGAAACAACAGACCTCCCCATTCCTTTTACAGCAACCCCGTAGAACTTTCTTCAGCACCCCCAGTGACTCTGCTCTTAAGTCCAGAGAGGCCTGGGCTGGTGGGGATAGTCATGGCCTGGGGCCCTGCTGCCTTGCACTAAGGTGCTGTGCATAGTAGGGAACTTGGGGATGAAAGGGGAGCCCTTCATCCATCAGGACTGGACCAAAGCCTCTAGCCCTTGTCCCAGCCTGCTTGCCAGGTGAGATGCCAGCCAAGACCAGTGCTCTGGCTGCTCCTGAAGAGCAGGTTGTCCAGTCCCTGTGCAAGTGTCTCTCTGCGTCAGCTGGAAGTGCAAAGCGTAGTCACTCAGCCAAGGCCGTAAGCCTTGCTCCCTGGCCATTAGTGATCAGTATCCTCCATGATCTTTTCTTCTATGAGTCTATAGAGAACTAGAATTTTCTAAGGCACTTAAAAAAAAGTATCAATAATGTAAAACAAAATCTTGAAATTCACTCAAGCTTCTAGGTGTGGTACTGCAGTTCTGTAATCCTGGAAGCCTGAGGCAGGAGGACTTTGAGTTCAAGACCAACCTGGGCAACACAAGGAGTCCTTGTCCCAAAAATCAAACAGTGACAAAAAATGATGTACCCTAAGTCCATGGAGATTAGTGGCAATAATAAAATGTACTGACTGTTCACCCAAGAACAGATGCTGAAGAAGCCACCCTCAACTAAAAGGACACTGAGCCCCATTGCTGATCTGTGAAAATCTAAGAACACTTCATGACAGTCCCACCACCTGGACTGGCACTGCCTCGGTGGCTGCACATTCACTCTCACCAGTTCTTGGCCAGGGCCAAGTGGAATGATGAGACTGCATTTGTGACCCACCATGATAAGGGACACATCGCCAATCTCTGCAGAATCACCCCCTCACCCTTGTGCCCTTCCCTGCTGACCTTCCAGCTACTCTGCTCTTCAGTTTCCATGTATAAATTTCTCCGGGCTCCAGCTTTGTAGAATCTCTTTTGGTTTGAGAATTGGCACAGAAAACTTTGTGGTGCAGGTGTCTCACTCTGACAAAAAGACAGTGTTTGGCAGTACTGGTTATTGATAAATGAACCTTTGCTTTTTTTCTAACCAAATAATTCCTTGATTACCTCGCTGAATTTACCTTTGGTTGGTACCTCCATTCTGTTTTTTTCTTTTCAATGCTGCGGATGGAATCCAGGACTTTGCATATCTACGTCTGAGTTACACCCCCAGCCCTTTCTCATGGAATGACCATGTGGGTAAACACCTATGTTAGCTTCAGATTTGATGCCTGCTACCTCTGACCGAGACAAGCTGGGTGAGTGATTCACATCTTACATCACATTCTTCTTTATTTCCTACAACTGTAATTTATTAAATTATGTGAATCATGATAATTAAGAAGATTAATAAATCCACAGTCCAGTTGTGTTTGTCTTCATTGTTAGTTTGGCTAATATCTTCAGCCCTGAAATCCATATCCCACCTGTCCCATAATTCCAGGTTGTCCTTTATATCTCTTGGAGAGGCCACATAACAGTCTCCATATAACACTTGTGTGTTTTTGACAGTACTGGAGTTTGAACTCAGGCCTCAGGTTTGATAGGCAGGCACTCTTTCACTTGGACACTCCACCAGCCCACTTGTGTGTTTCTATTAAGGTTATTTTGAGATGTTTGGTATTTTGTTTGTCATGAATACATTTTTAACTAAGATAAAGCTATTCGTGTTTGTGATCTGTCATATCCAGCTATGCTACTAAAATTTTTTTATGGAATCCAACTTTTTCCTTCTGTTATTCTTAGGATTACCAGCTCTACAGGCATTTGCAGATATATTAATTGTGTTTTTCAGCATCTGAAGCTGTTAGTTTTTTGTCATTTACTTCTAGAACTTGGAGAACAATTTTGAACAATAGACATGATTATCAGGACTCTTGTGTGATTTCATTGGGAATGACTTTTTTCAAGATTACTGTTGTAAGCATCCTTTGATTTTGTTACATGGCTATTGGTATCTTTTCTCCCCTAGCTATGTGGATATTGTCTTTGCATTTTAAAAAAAATCCTTTATTTCTTTTGAGATTTTTAAATGTCCTCCATACATATCAGAAATGACAAAGACGACTGCACAACAGATATCAAGGAGACTGGAAAATAGAACATACCTGCTTTGACATTCTGATCTAGTGGGCTGTTTTCTTCATTAGATTTTTCTCAAGTTTTTTTTTTTTTTTTAATGTGAGCTCTCTTTCATTATGGTACCCTCCTCTGTATTTCTTAACTTTTAAATTTCTGCTTTATTTTTCTTGTCACTCTTCTAATTTATGTGGTTATTTCTGTTCCATTCATAACTGCATGAAAAGAGAAACATTCATTTCTTTTCTTAGCAAAGGGTTTTTAGGTTTTAATTAAAGCTGTGTATTTCTTACAAACAGCACTATGTTTCCTTAAGTTTACTTATGTTCCTAAAATTATGCTGAATAATCTCCAGTTTTACTTCTTGGATTTTCTTTGACTCAGAGATTTTGTAACAAAATAATTTATGTGTAGGATGATGCTTTTTATTTTTCATCCACTTGGGGGATTTGACTTAAAAGTTTTTGGTTGTTGTTGACCTTTTCCTCATGTATGGATATAGCAGAGATTATTCTCTGTAAATTTTCTCCTTTTGGGTTTTGAGTTTTCTTGATGGTCTCAAGAATGGGCACCTTTTACATCAATCACAGACCGCTTCCTAAAGTGAATCCTGTGTTTCTTTGTTTAATCCAAACACATTAATCATACTTTTAACTTCTCCTTCAATTTCTCCCATGTCTAATTTTCCTTATATTTCTAATCATTTTTGCTTTGTTTTATGCTGTTGGCATCAAGCTTTACCTCTAATAGCCTGGATCAGTAATCAACTTAAAATCATCTCCCTATCAAATGTTTCATGAATTGAATTCTTCTTTGATAAGAGTATTTCCACACTTCTTGTTTGTCTGTCTGTTTGTCTGAGACTTATCTCACTAGGTAGCCCTGGTCTTGAACTCAAGAGCCTCCTGCTTCAGCCTCTAGAGTGGTGAGATTATAAGCATGTGCCACTTTGACCAGCTGTGAAATATTCTTTATTATGTTTTCTGCTTTTCTTGTATTTCACAATTTCTTTGATTTACTATCTAGAGTGATTTGGAAAGGGGGGAGGAGGAGGTGGCACAAGCATGTACACACATGTAAGTAAATGTAAAAATGGCAAAATAAAAGGAGAAACGAAAAGAAAAAAGAAAAAAACTTACCTTGGTTGGCTTTTATGTTTTCAGATGTGCAGTTGAGAGCTCCCAGTTCAGCATACTAAAATGGCCACGTGCTCTTCCTTCTTTCCTATCCTGACCTTTGTGAAAATCATGTAAAAAAAATTTAGGGAGAGAGGTGGGCACTGGGGGCTCATGCCTGTAATCCTAGTTACATGGGAGACTGAGATTGAAAGGATCATGGTTCTAGGCCTAGAACCCTGAATCCACTGGGCCAGGAATCGCCTCTCCAACATGGGATCTGCTCTTATCTCAAAGTGCTCACTCAGCCCTGGTGAGTTTACGGGATGAGACTTGGCAGACCTTTGGGCTCTGAAGAAGTTCAGATTTCCAAACAAACTACAGCCCTAGAACCTGCAGCTTAGCCAGATCTTGTCCTGGATCTGCGAGGGCCTTTATTGCTGCTGTAATAAAATGCAATAAACTAGGTGTTTTTTTAACAACAAAAATTTATTTCTAGAGGCTGGGAAGTCCAAAATCAAGTGACTGATAGATCAGTGTGTAATGAAGGACTTCTTCCTAGTCCACAGACCACACCTTCTCACTACGTCCCAGAGCTGTCTGGGACCTCTCTTAAAGGAGTACTAATCCCATTTACCGTGGCTCCACCCTCATGACCTAATTACTTCCTGAATGCCTCATCTGAGTCTCTCCGCTTGGGGGCTACATTTCAGCATATGCACTGGGGGACACACAAATGCTGAGACATACCAGGCTCCCTGTCTGTTCATCTGTCCTCCTCCCCCACCATGGCCAGCCTTCACTGAGTAATTTGACTTGGGGACTCTGGTCTGTCCACCACCACATACCTTTTATGCAGGAGGCTGCTCTGCTTCCAAATGGCACTACAAGTGGCCCCAGAGCCTAGCAAGCATCTCTCTGGGTGGTCAGGGCCAATGGCCTGACCTTCTTCTTTCTGTGGAATCCCAGAGGACTCAACTGCCTTCAAGCGTGTGGCCTGCAGCCTGTGGTCTCCTTATGGCTTCCCATGGAACTGATCTAAGGCCCCCGTTCTTGCTAATTCCTCACACTGGGGCCTCCTTTGGCCCATCCGTGTTGGGAACAGAATCTCTTTGCAGGAGCCATCACCCAGGATGAGATGGCAGCAAAGCCCTTGTCCATAGGACTTCCCTCCATTTGCTACTTCCCTTCCAAACCTAGGATTGAGTTGGGAGAGAAGAGGTCAACAGCTAGTCTCTCACTTTTGGGCCCTCCTCTGCTCCATTGTACCCAGGTCTCCAGGTATAGGCCTCTGTCCTCTCATACTTAGCTCGGACATTTGTCGGAGGTCTCTCTGACCTTGAGCTTGCATTGGACAAGGTACAGGAGAGATCAGGAGTAGACTTAATAGGCAGAGGCTTAAATCTGACAGTGTTTCAGGAATTGTAATCTTGCAGCAATGCCAGTTGCCATACTCGTTTTAAACCCAAGCACTTTTTCAATCCATGGTGGCTCTTTTCCTTTAAGGCTAAGCCTTGGCAGCTTGGCTTGGTTGCCACCAGCCCCACTCTCTGGTAGGGGCTCTTGAGATGCTGTGTCGCCTGTCTTTCTGTCTTTCACTGCTGCTCACTCAAACCACCTCCTTCCTAGGCTGCTTTCTTGCAGACCACAGCGCAGACCTTAGCCACATGATACCTGCAGAACTCCCATTTCTCCCCTGCCTTCCTGACCTGCATCTGCTGCCCTCTGCAGGAAAATTACAGCCAGCACGTTGGCCCCAGATCAAATCCAACAAGGCAAAAAATTTACTGTCACATTATTTCCTCCTTACTGTAAGATTCATCGTGACCAGTGGTGCATGCATCTGTGCATACCACAGCATTTGTGAGTACTCAGCTGTGGGACTTATACAGTCCCTGCCCAGGTAAGGTGGCAAGAAGGTAGCTGAAATAATGTCGGGCAGGAAAAAGTGACAAAAATCAAAACAAGGCACAGAGAGAGGATTGTTTTTCTCACTGGTGTCTGGTTCAGCTGTCACCTCCGTCACTGGCCACAGCTGTGATCAAGCCTCAGCCACCTTTCACAGGCCCTTTCTACACCACAGAATCCATGGGACATATGGGGTGACCTCCATATCCCTGCCATGCTGTGTGCAGCAGGTCTGGATTTCCCACCATGCACTCCATCTCAAAGTCCTCCAGCCACTTCCATCTCCAGTGGATCTGGGCCAGGATTCTCCCTGGATTCCAGGATCCTGCAGGTTGGATCATGTATTAGCTTTGTTACCCTAGCAAATACCTGAGATCATCAATTTATAAGGAGAAATGGGTTGTTCTGGCTCACAGTTTTAGAGGTTTCAGTCCACAATCAGGTGGACCATGCTTTATGCCTCTGGTGGGGTGAGGGGCCGTGCACCATAGTGGGAGCCTGTGGGACAGGCCTCGTGGCCAGGGTGCAAAAGACAGGGAAGAAGCAACTGGGATCCCACTCCAAGGGCACAGCCATAGCCCCATCTCTTAAATCAAGTCTTAAAGATACCTACTGAGCCCCGCCTCTTAGAGTTCTCACAGTGCCAAGCTGAGGGCCAAGTCCCTAACACATGGGCCTTTCAGGGACAATTAAGATCCAAACACCAGATCGCTCGAACCCACTGATTCCAGAGAGTCCCTCTTGACATTACAGAGCAGGGGAAAGAACTATCTCAGGGACCAGTTGCGTGGGTCCCTATCAGGGAGCATGTCACAAGAAAGCAGTTCCCTTTCCCCTTGGCCAGCCTGGAGAGGGGAGGGAGCCCCTGTTGATCAAGCTCAAGATCATCTTCCTCTGCTCGAAGATCTATAGCCACTATTGGGAGCCAAAGAAAGGATTTCCAGCTCTGAAAGGCTCACTTGAATCAAGCCTTCAAAAAATTCAGATTCCAAAAGCAACAAAATCCAAAAGTTTAGAAAGGCAAGTATTTTTAGAACAACTTGGAGAGGGCAAAAGACATCAGATACAATGCAAAAGGAGGGGGGAAAAGGTGAATTTATAGAAGATAGATAAGCTCACATCTTGCTTTTTCTCTGCAGATGTTTGGGGCTATTTTGACGGGCACAGGTGAGCTGGTCCCGAGACCACACCTCTCAGCACTTTTGGCCATATTCATCATAGAAGAGGTCTCAATTGTCCCATCTACCAGGCCATCCTGCTAGAGCTGTCACCCAGGCATTCATCCTGTGGATAGCACAGGCCTCTCATCCCAAGGCACACACTCTGGATGTCCAGGCAGCCAATGTGTAGCTCATCCCAGTTTCTAGCAGTGGCCACATTTCACGCTGCCCCTCATGCTGCCTCAACAGTCTTGAACATCAACACTTCTGCCTTGTTCTTCCCTCATGTCTCAGCCTGCCAGTTCCTAGTTTCAGGCGGCATGAATGAGCCATTAATTAGAAGTGGCCTTTTGCCCCCAGCCTCAGCCCCCAAGTTAATTATAGTGCAGAATAAGAGGACACACAGAGCACTTAAAAGCACTTAAAAGAGGTGTAGCTCAGTGGTAGAGCACTTGTCTACCATGTGCGAGGCTGGTGAGTTCAATTCCCAGCTCTCTCCCCCCCAAAAAACCACACTGATCTAAATCCTAGTTCCAACATTTCACATCTATGCAATCTTAAATAAGTCACACAAATGTTCTGTGCCTCAGCCTCCTCATTGGCAAAACATGATTGTCACTCCATGGTTCACCTGGGACAGTTGTAAGCAGTAAGTGAATAACATTTGGGAAGTTCTGAAACACTGTGTGGCACAGTGATGTACTTAGTAAATGTTAAACAATGTCATTTGCATCATTGGTGCATTTGAGAACCCTTCATTGACTGTACCCACAGTGCACTCAACTCTGTACCCTTATGCTCCTGAGTTCACCCGTTTATGAAAAAGATTCACTGCTG